ATAAGCCTAACAGGGAGGGCGTAATACTTGGAAATAAATTAAACTTTGGATTCCTGACACCCAGTGATGAGTGTGTGTCGTTAATATGTGCAATGCACTACTATTCCTGAAACGTAAATGTGTGGGCAACTTGTTGCATTTGAACATCGCAGCAAAAATCGAATGATTTGATTTTTGATATGATTTTTTTCAATATTTCAATATCGGAATGCTGTTCTGTAAAAGAAGGGTAAGGCGTTCTGATATCCCTACTTCATCAACATTTTATAGCACATTAAAAATTCCCCTCAAATAATTTTGAGTTTGTTGGATCCCTGCGATGTTTTGACGCCATTAGAACACTGTGGTGCGATGTCACGGTGAAGGAAATTGGTATATTGCTGCCATCTCGGATTAGATTAGATTGTTGTCAGAATTGTGTGTTCAGGGAGGTATGTGATATGTAATATATAATTCAATCATTTATTTGAGGTCAGTTCTGGAAGAGAACAATCTTGTCCCCACAGATTGGCAACAAGGTTCTAAACTGGAGGTGCCTGGGAGTTGTCGGGGTTCCTAACTGAAACTGATAACTAATATACAGAGTTTTGGCATATAAATCACATTTACATGAAATGGTGTGACAAACAGGGGAAAAGATGTGTTGTGAACACTGGCTTTGTGTTCAGGGAACTTGACTCACTTAGCTGATAACACTTACACATAGAGATACCAGATTCGACCATATGAATACACATGAGTTCATTACTATAATTTCGCCTTATTTATCAAAACAGTCAGCTGAGTCATCCCCTCACTGTCCATTTATTTCGTTTTTCTTTTACAAAGTGTTAAATAAACGCTGTATGGTAGTGTTTGACTTACTTTGGTTTTGCTGTTTTTTCATGAGGACATACCAAATAATAAACCGAACACGCAATAATATTTAATATGTTTACCACTTGGATGATAATTTAGACAGATGGGTACCAATATAGTTATATATGTGATGGGAACTTATCGTCTGTCTCTATATCTCGTCTGCTTGAGGTACCGGACCGGGAAAGTCACTTAAACCTTACAGTCGTATAGACGCCGGATGGCAACGGTTATATCGTAATTAGTTCCAAATCACTGAGTCAAGTTCCGTCCAGGACCTCGCATGAGCCTAAATGATGACAGATACAACACAGCCATTCACTAGTAATCAGCAAAATAAGTCGGACAACAGATCTAGATACGCGAAAACTAGTTCATTACATATACATGTACACAATACATATATATGCGTACATGCAGATCTACTGATTTGGAAAAACGTACAGAAAGATCACTCGGCAATCCAACTGAAATTGAAATCTTGTCAAGCTAGACGCATCCAATGCGGTTAATGCCAGGCTTGCACGGGATGAATTGTATGCAAATTATACTAACAAAAACAGTGGAAAAAAAGAATGAAAGATCGAATCCGGATTTTACATTTTACATAAATGTTATTAAATTCTGGGCTATTTTGCGAAATATTAAATGTAATGCGTCCCTAACCAATGAAATTAAAGCGGACAGTTGGTAAATATTTTAAATGCACTATCGGGACACGTCAAGGTTGTATGCTTAGCCCTATATTATTTACTATTTTTATCAATGATCTCGTTTTATACACTAGTACTGTTGGATGTGAGGGTGTTGCATTGACAACGATTTTCACAACCTTAATATCTTGATGTACGCGGATGACGTAGCCGTGGGTTCTGATATGCCAATACATACTCAACGACAAATAAATAAAGTACACCAATTTTGTTCTCACTGGGGTCTAACTCTAAATCTAAACAAAACACAGATAATTGTTTTTCGCAGGGGTGGTTATCTAAAACAAGGTGAAAAATGGTTCTATCGCGATCATGAAATAAAA